TAGCGCGCGTAGACTCACGCCGGGATGGGTGGTGCGGGCCGGGGGCGCACAGAGGGGCTGTGAGGGGGCTGCAGAGCCCGCGCGAGGGGGAGGAAGGATTTGAACACAGGGTGAGGAGTGGCCCTGCCATGAGGGGCTCTGAGACAGCGGGGGAGGGGAGGGTCTGGCTGGGGCAGGTTGCTGAGTGTCCGTGGACAAAGCTTTGGGGGCTTTTTGGATTTTAATTTTGATTTTTTTCGGTATCCTCAGTGCTGGTACCTCACGCACCAGCCTCCCGGACCTGCCCCTCCATTGCTGAGCTCAGGGAAGTGACACAGCTCCTGTTCCCCAACCCAGAGGCATCCATGGCTGCAGAGAGCCCCATAGAAAGTCTTTGGAAGCGACATGTCCCGTCTGTCTGGAGGATTTCACAGCCCCTGTCACTCTGGAGTGTGGGCACAGTTTTGGCCAAGCCCCCCTCAGTCCTCAGTGCAGAGACACTGAGCATCAGGGACCCCTCCGTCCTAATTGGCAGCTGGCCAACATGGTAGCACTACCCAAGCTGCTGAGTTTCCAGGCAGCAAAGAGAGCAAGATGGGATGGGGTTTGTGGGGAGCACAGGAGGCCCTGAAGCTGTTCTGTGAAGAGGATCAAACTCTCATCTGTGGTGTGTGACAGGTCTCAGGCTCAGACTGTGGTGCCCAAACAGGAAGCTGCCGAGGAATACAAGGTACAGAGTTGCTGTCCAGTGTAAGGGGAAATAACATTGTTTTTTAATTACAGGATAATTTCACTGACTGTTATCTGTGGCGCAGGTATGACACGGCTCTTTAAAGCCTTCATGGTACAAGAGATTCTGTAAAAAGTAAATCCTCTGGCTGTGTGGCAACTTGCATCAAATCTTTACAGATACCTGATGTGGGAAATGTTTCTCTGAGTCTCTGAATCCTGAAACCCTGCCCTCACTGGTGACAGGAGGGGTTTTAACATAAAGGAAAGTGTTAACAATCAGAGAGGTTTATATCAGTGTTTCTCAACCAGTGGTATGAGTACCCTTAAGAGTACTTGGTACATCAACACAACTGAAATTTGGAGAACACTGAACTTTTTTTTTTTTTAAGTTTTACAGCTCTTTATTATTTTTGTACTTCTTAAAATGTAATCGCCTGCACTGCTACAATTAAGTTATTTAAACAAATGTGTTGCAATGGTAGAAAAAAAAAAGTGTGTCTGAAAACTGTAGGTAGTAGTGATACTTATATTTTGGGGCGGAGGGAGGGATACTTTATTTTTAAAAAGGTTCAGAAACACTGGTTTAGATCACAGAAGCTACAGGCCAGTCTGTGGAAGTCAGCTGCCTTGGGACAGGAGAAGAGACGGTTGCAAGCTGTTGTTGACTGGCTGAGAAGCAGTAGTAATCTGTCATTTGCCTTATAGACCCACAATGGAATCAGGGCCCTGCACAACACCCAGCAAGGGACAATCCCTGGCCTGAGCAAGTCACAGTCTAGTTAGACAAGTGGTGGGAAGAGAAAGTAGGACAGCAAATTCCCTCATGGTCACCAAGCACATCAGTGACTGAGTATAGCCCTGAACCCTGCTCTCTCCACTAGCCACTAGGCTGCATTCCTCCCACCTCTCTGTCAAGTGTGGCCCTTAGGCGGGAAAGATGCCTTGCTACAGGCCCCAGGCTCAGCAGGTAGAGGAGGTTTCCTACTGAGATACTGAACTCCTGGGCTGCAGTATGAGGGGTTACAGTCAGATGCAGCAGCCGGCGCTAGAGGAGATCACTGGACTGGATTCTGTGTGAGGCCCCAAGTGCCTTGAGTTCACCCATAGCAGGGCTCCAGGCAGTGCAGGGCTATGCCAGGCACCACTGGGATTCGACTGGATAGTAGCAAGAGTTCAAACTGGTTAACTGATGAGCTAATGCTTGTTGGTGCCAGTTACTGGTTAAACCCCCCCTCTGTCCCTGGCAGTGCCCTCTTGTCCCAGTAGCGAATGTCAGTCTGGAGCTGCTGAGAGTCCTCACCTGCTGGCAGCCTTGGTGGCCATCCCTGGCAGACCTCGCAAGAAAGCCCTGCTCTCAGGAGAGCCCACATCTGCTATTGACCTTATCTGTCGGCGGGTTAAAAAATACTGTAACTGATTACATTGTAATTGGTTACATGATTCGTATTTTTAACCCTTTTTACCTCCCTCATCCCCACTTACATCATTCTTTATGAAGGTGCCACCACCAATCTGTCCCCCACCCTCACAAGTGTGCTGCTGCATCCGCAGTCTCCTCCTGTCCCTTTTGCAACAGACAAAGCAACATTCAGGACTGAGTCCCTGCTGGACAGGGACAGAGCTCCACAAAACTGGGACTATCTTAGACAAATGGGCTCCAGACATCTCATGGGTTTGTCCTGTTGCTTATTTCTGTTTCTTCAGGAAAAATTGGCGGCGCATTTGAAGACTCTGAAGGAAGAGAGAGAAAAGCTGCTGGGAAGAAAAATGACAGCAGAGGGGAAAAGCCAGAAGTATCTGGTACGTTTCTGTGGCTATGAACCAGCAGAGACTGGCAGTGGAAGGCTGTTTTAGGAGGCAGATTCCTGTGTGGCCTTGGTGAGGTTGGGCTTGTTTGTGTTTCTCCTGGATCATGGATTGCTGGGTTAGATCCGTGTGTAGACAGGCCCTGAGCTTCCATGTCAGTGGATGAGTTAATGTCCAGTCCTTGTAACTTTCCCAAAAATCCTCCCCAAGGAAGTTGATTGTCCCTGTGAAGGGCTGCTCACTTGGTGCATTAACATGTTTGCTTCTTTTTCCTCCATGGGTATCTCTGTCAGTCTGGTGCTGGGTCCTGCCTCCTTCTGCTCTGAGTCTGAAATTCCCAGTGCCCATGAAGAACAGAACATGCTGCCCATGACAGACATGGAGTCATCCCTTTCAAAGGGACACTGGCCAAAGGAGATGCTGGGGGAGAGACCTCTGCCGAATACCCAAAGAGTAGAGTCAAATATCACAAATTTTAGGGATTTTCAATCAGTTCTCCCTGCTCCGCACTCAGCTCTCTATGAAAGGGCCCCGGGCTCCATCCATGTCCCTGACCGGCCCTTTCCCTGTTTTCATACAGAAATGGACCAAAGCGGAAAGGCAGATGATTGTGGCCAAGTATCAGCAGCTGTGGCAGTTCCTGGAGGGACAAGAGCGGCTCCTGCTGGCCCAGCTGCAGAAGCTGGATGAGGAGATTGTCAGGAGACTCTCCATGCAGATTTCCCGTCTCAGTGAGTGGATCGGTGAGCTGGAGGGGACGTGTCAGAAGCCAGCAAGTGAATTCCTGCAGGTGAGACTGAGGAAGAAACATTCCAGGTTCCCATAAAGGGAAGGGAGGTTCCTAAATCACAAGCACTGGGGTCCAGCCGTCAGATCTCAATTTAACTCCATGTGCATTGCTGATATGTTAGTGACTCTTGTGCTTTGTAGAGTTACAGGCACAGAGCTATTAGAGATGGCAAATCCCCCTTCACTTAGGGGATCCATGTTCCTGGGACCAGGGCAGGGCCTCTCTTCCCAGGTTTGCAAAATCCCTTCTCTGACGTCCCCAGGGCGTCTCTTCCTCATATTTGCAAAATGCCTTCCCTGTGTGTGTCCAGTGCAGCTGAGACTCTTTTCTGTCTCTTTTCTCTAGGACATAAGAAACAGCTTGAACAGGTAGGTGGCTCGCATGCCTGTCATACTGCACAACTCGGGGAAAGAGGTTGGAGCACATCTCCCCAGGGCCCTACAGCCAGGTGTTAGATACAAATACCTCTCATTCATTTAATTCCGAGGGTCTCATCCTTGCATAGCAAACTCTGGAATTCCCCATTCAGGGCACAGTCTGACCTCAAGTGTTTCCTGGAGCTGTCACCTCCCTGGGGACTGGCTGCCTCAGGACTGTGGGGTGGAACATTGGCCTGTCATAGCTGGGCACTGGGCACATTTAGTCCACGGCATCAGGGACCAAGAGTCTGTCCCACCCGAGGGCTGTTTGGAGACCTGTGTGGAAGGAGCTGGGGAGGGGGGAGCTGGTGTCTGTCTAGTCTCTCGTGGACCGATTCCTTCAGCCCTTTACCTAGGAACCTCCTGCCCCTCAGTGCCTGGAGGCCAAGGAGTGACTTGGCTATGGAGACTCAATTCCTCTATAGTCCCCCAGGCCAGAAGTGAAGAACAGCAATGGGACCTTTCAGGAGAAGGTTGCATGGCCATGAGATGTGTTGTCCCTGCTCTCAGGCTGTGAGAATTGGAGGAAATCTAACTCCAAACCTGTTAGAGCTGAGACACACTAGCCAGAACTTATCAGCAGTAAACTAAATACAATCACATGGAATTGTTTCTGTTCAGGTGTGAGATGGGGCAATTCCAGCTGTGGATGTGTGGAGAGGGCCGATAAAGAAAAGTTATTTATTAGTTCCCTAAATAGAAGAACTAGAGGACACCAAATGAAATTAATGGGGAGCAGGTTTAAAACTAATAAAAGAAAGTTCTTCTTCACACAGCGTATAGTCAACCTGTGGAACTCCTTGCCAGAGGAGGCTGTGAAGGCTAGGACTATAATAGAGTTTAAAGAGAAGCTAGATAATTTCATGGAGGTTAGGTCCATAAAAGGCTATTAGCCAGGGGATAAAATGGTGTCCTTGGCCTCTGTCTGTCAGAGGCTGGAGAGAGATGGCAGGAGACAAATCGCTTAATCATTGTCTTCGGTCCATCCTCTCTGGGGCACCTGGTGCTGGCCACTGTCGCTGGATGGACCTTTGGTCTGACCCAGTACGGCCGTTCTTATGACTCTGTTGTGGAAAGGGTTTATAACGTCTCTGTCAGATGAGAGAGCGAAGTTTGTGCTATAAATCTGTGAATGAAAACTAAAGGTTTTAAATACAGGCAGTCTCCGGGTTACGTGCAAGATAGGGACTGTAGGTTTGTTCTTAAGTTGAATCTGTAGCTGGATGGACCTTTGGTCTGACCCAGTACGGCCGTTCTTATGACTCTGTTGTGGAAAGGGTTTATAACGTCTCTGTCAGATGAGAGAGCGAAGTTTGTGCTATAAATCTGTGAATGAAAACTAAAGGTTTTAAATACAGGCAGTCTCCGGGTTACGTGCAAGATAGGGACTGTAGGTTTGTTCTTAAGTTGAATCTGTATGTAAGTCGGAACTGGCATCCAGATTCAGCCGCTGCTGAAACTGACCAGCAGCTGACTTGGGGATGCCTGGGACAGAGCAGCTTGGGTGCTGCTGGGTTGCTCCAGTAGCGCCGCTCCTCGGTGCTGCTGGACCAACCCAGCAGCAC